GCCGTCCCACCCGTAATGTATGAAGCTGCGGCCAACCCGGCCGGGCAATCATTTTTCTATTGAAAATGATCGCCCGCCTTCAAAACGGGAGATTGATGCATACCACCCTAGAAAGTGGATCATTACACATCAATAGATGCACTTGTTTCTTGCGGTTTTTCTACTGAAGGGACAAGGTTTTACTTCTCACTTGTTTCGGATGGATGTTATGGGATATGCGCGCTTATTCGATAGGGTTCCCGTGCAGAGAGCTTGGCCATGGGGCGCGCTCTTCGCAGCCATTTGTAGTGAGTGCCTACACCCATCTCTCGGGTAGTGCTTTGCGCGCGTATACAGCGCAGATATGGAGCGCTGCGAGTGGACGATTTCATGCAGGCGTTCCGGCATGATTCCAATTGGGACAGACTGCATAAGCGAGTCCGCCCATTCGAATCAGAGAGGCGCCGACAGTGTCTACGGTGGTGTTTTACATATCATCAGCTTCTACATTTGTATGGAGGCGGAAACGTAGCAGCTGAAATCCCATTCTTGTTAGCAAGAGAGTTAAAAGCAGAGCGGATAATTAACCGTTGATTCAACTGGCTTGGCACCATTAGGGCGGGGTTTTGTGATCTAATCGAGGCCGCTCGCGCCCGCGACGCACCTGCGTCTCTCTCGCGCGAGTGCTCTCTGATCATTACCTAGCCTTAACTAGGTCACGAAGCCCCGCCTTTGCCGATGCCAAGCCAGTTGAATCAAATGGTAACAATTTAATCAACGTTGTCATATCTCTGCAAACCTCCTCTCTTGAAATTGGGAGCCGGTTGAGCGACTCACCTGGTGTTTATCTGATGTTTTGTAGAATCATGAGTGCCAGCGGATCGCTTAGATTGCCCATATTTCATAACCAAGCTTAGCTGTGTCCACATAGTGCTTGTGCGCTGTCTCACATTTTGATTGTGTACGCGAAACTCCCTGCTGCAGATGGTCAAATCAGAGCCGTTATCCCATGTCACCTGCGTTTTTGTGAGGCGAAGCAATCGAACAGATCTGGAGCAAACCGGTACGATAAGCTCTGTGTTGTTAACCACATGTTTTCGAGGATTTGCCTTCCAAACGGTCGCTTGAGTAGGGGAACGAACACTTCAACTGGGCACCGCCTCCGCGGACTGCTGGTCCTTTCGCTCTACTGTCGTCGCGTTAGGACCAGTAGTCCGCAGAGGCGGTGCACAGCTGATGCGTTCTTTCCTCTACCCAGGTCGCTTCAATAAGCTCATTGAAGAGATAACAGAACAGAGACAAGAGATTGCTAGACTCAAAAATGAATTCTTACCTTAAACATGAGAATGCTCACCTAACGCCTCGTTGACGATAAAGAAGTAGTCATTGACTCTCTGCTAGACTGGATATCAAAATCTCGACAACAAGACCGGCTTTCCGAGCGCGCATCCACTCTGAGAGGTACATTTTTTACCTTGTAAAACTAAATTATCATCAACTTTGAGATGAAGTGCTGTCCCGTAAAAGAAGTTGCTCTTTTTCTGTGTCGCCATTCAGTTTGTGTCCATATCAATCTCGACGCACTGGTCAATCGTTTCCATCAGAGGAGACTCCTTCATCTAAGGCGGTGCGATGTGCCGAGATGGCCCTTTCTCATACGTTTTACCCGCGAAAACACGACAGATCAGTTTTAGCCTTTACGCCTTTCGGATTATTTCAAACCTCCAGCAACGACAGCCGTATGGTCTAGAAGAGCTATCAGTGAGGAAGAGGTATTATAACTGCCTTACATTTGTGGTGTAAAATAAATTGCACCAGCGTGAAAAAAAATACCATTGGAACTCAATAACATTCAGGGGCGCTAATCGGCTATCCGGGCCCCAACATTTTTTTGTCGTGGATAATGCGCAAACATTACCTATAAGGGTTATCTGACATGCTGATCACAGATATCGCACGTTCGCCGCATGAAAACATTTCCCCGTGCGGTTACGGTAGGCGTACGGTGGGTGGTAAACATCACGGATTTGCCTGGAATTCGGTCCAGAGGGGTTATTCGACATACTGGTTACGACTACCACACATTCTCTATCTGCATATTGGGGACTTCTCATCAAGTTATGGTAAGTATGCGGATGGGGTCGAAACCACGAATTTGCTCTAAACTTCGTCTATGGGGTCATTTGGCGCGCTGAACATGAATATCCACTGATTTCGCAAAGCAACGCCTTTCTTAGGCTATTGTGTGTGTACGGTAGATGGGGAAAAGTCCCACATTTTCTCAAAACTTTGCTTAAAAAGGTTTGCAGGCATGCTGATTATGAAAAATGCCTGCCCGTTGTTGTAAGGCATTATTGTGAAGTTACGGTGAGCTGCAAGGTTTGAATAGACATTTTTTCGCTCTTTGCGACATAGATCCCAAATATCCACGAAATGGGGAAACGGCCTTTTCGCACGGTGGTCTCCAGCGCCACCCTAACAACCCTGTCCCAACGAGTCACGCCTCAGCAAGTCTTTCCTCCCCCGCTTTGCTCAAGCTGAAGCCCTGTTGGGTGTTTCGTGCGCGGCGGTGGTCCTGCATGAAAAGTTTATAGTCGTGCGGAACGCCTTATACACAACGAAATGTCTTTTATATGGGAAAGTCGTGAGTACTTTGGGTAAGCTCATGCCCAAGGTTTCAGGCAAATCTATGGTTTTTACCCCCTACCGTATACCTACCGGGTGCTAGTCGGCTATCCTGACCCCAAATTTTTTTGCCATGGATTTCGTTAACTTGGCCCAGGGGAGTTATCTGGCATGCTGATCACGAACATCACGTTTTTCCGCGCGATTACGCCTCCCTGTGCGGTTACGGTGGGTATACGGTAGAGGGCCAAAATCACGGATTTCGCTGAAACTTGGCCTAGGGGGGTTATTCGACCCGCTGATGCCGAATGTCATATTTACCACCTCGATTGTCGAAATCTCGCATTCTTTTTCAGTTATTCTTGGGAGATTTTCTGGAGTAGCCTTCCGATTTTTTTGTATTCTCGGATGTACAAGCACTAAATTCGTTTTTTGGCTAAATTATGAAGATGTTCACCCTTGCTGCAGCATCCACCTATGAAGATTTCAGTCTCATCTCGACTAATACACTTCACATTTCAGCAGATATTTAGTTTTTCAATATAACGTTTCCGCATCTGAGAAAGTTAGAATCATGTAACATTTTGTGTTGATTTATAGACGTATATTGCGTCCAACAATGTTCTCGATTATGACATTGCAGGAAGCGCAATCATTTTTGTTCATGTTTAATTTCATGTCGTTTCTTCTTTATTCCGAGTTCATATAAATTATATACATGCAAGCAGCAAAAAATTTTCGAAAGCTCTCCAAATCAGTTCATCTTTCTTCCTCTGCTTACCGTCCCTAGAAATTCGGAGCTAGGGGAACACTTGAGAGCTTTAGACAGGCAAAGGTTTTCTGTTGACAGTAGTTTCCACCCATTACAAATTGTAATTTTTCAACGGAATTGTGACACTTCGAGCTGAAACGTTGCAGAACCTGCTTTAATTTCCGGACAACTATTATTTGAGAAAAGATAGAGGAGATTCAAGCACAATCATTTTAGTTCGTGTTCAAATTCATGCCGTTTCTTTTTAAACGGAATTGAACACTGATATTTAGGTTTTCAATATAACGTTTCCGCATCTGAGAAAGTTAGAATCATGTAACATTTTGTGTTGATTTATAGACGTTTCAGCACAATCATTTTAGTTCATGTTCAATTCATGCCGTTTCTTTTTAAACGGAATTGAAAGAAACGACATGAAATTGAACACGAACAAAAATGATTGTGCTTGAATCTTCTCCATCTTTTCTCAAATAATAGTTGTCCGGAAATTAAAGCAGGTTCTGCAACGTTTCAGCTCGAATTGTCACAATTCCGTTGAAAAATCACAACTTGAATTGGGTGGAAACTACTGTAAACAGAAAACCTTTGCCTATCTAAAGCTCTCAAGTGTTGCCCTAGCTCCGACATGCGACTCACTATGAACCAAAAAACCATAGTAAAGTATGTAGTAACCTTTTTGAAAAGTTATAGCTACTTTCTGAGAAGAATGTCTAGAGGGAAACTCTGCTCTTGTAGCCATAAGCCAGTACAATACGATTAGCTACGCAGAGACTTGTCGGAAATCTTTTGCGAAACAAAAAATTGCGATATTGGATTTGGCCAATTTTCCATGTTTCAAAGGGATGTGACCAGAAAATCCTCTATTAAATTGCAGACAACCTAATGCATCAACAAACTAGAAAAATCCATAGATTCCTACGGACATCTATATACGCAGTTTCGGCAAAATATGATCTCAAAAAATATTGATGACTGTTACTTGAGTTGTTGTCCAGTAGTACGATGTTTATCGTCATAACTTCACCAACACGTGTACACCAATCTTCTCTTGCAAATACAACATTTCGCAGATGTTTCCGGATTTATGCACTATCCGCAAGGTGAAATGACGGACGGCTGGAGCTGAGAGAGAACGAACGAGCTCTTGGACCTGCCGGAATGCTCTTCCGTCTTGCCCTCTCCGGCCGGCTTCCTCACACTCCGTCCCGGCTTTACACAGTGCTCGCGAAAGAGCGACATACAACACACCCCCACGCTTACGTTCTTCACTCTCACGAGCACTGTTCCAAGCTTTTCGACCATAATCGGCTATTTGCGTTTGACTCGGTGTTTCGATGACTACTTCCATGTTGCTTCGTTTATTGCCGTGTTACCGCTTCTAGATTCCGACGTCATCTATCACATGCGTTTCGTTTGCCTACTTTCTACAAACAGCTTTTTGAGTGTTTCCCACTTGTGCCAGGTCTCCCCATTGTTTTCGCACATTTCACGTTTTTCTAAGATTTTCCATGCTTTCGCGACCCTTTTGAAACCGCCTGTTCGCGAAATATACCGCAATACGAAGTTTGGTTTTTCAACGCCACAAATAGCTTCGTTTGGAGAAGAATGGAAAAGTATTTCCTCAGGGTAAAATAAATGGCAGACCAGGGTGAAGAAAAAGAGGAGAAGGCGGGACAGCCAAGCCAAAATGGTGATATTGCTACATCGACAGCTGCACCACTCAAACTGCCAAAGGTAATCCATACAAAATGCAGAATGCTAATTTTTCTATAAGAATTTGGTGGAGGTCAGATAGCATGTAGAACATTCATAGAAGTTCCATCCCTCAGGCTGAGATGTCAAATGAGTCATTCGACCTGATCGAAGAGTCCATGCGTCTTTTGGGTATCAAGTCATCTGTTCCTGCTACATCATCCAAATTAGAACGAGAAACAGACGGACCAATTGGTCCTTACGATGTAACTGCCAATTACAGGTAAGGATAGCTTGAACGAACTCATTTGATTTCTCATGGTCCACAACTCATTTGCTTTTTCGTCTTATCGTCTTGTCGTTGTTTCACGAATATTAGCTCATATGAACGCGTATGTGTCGGGGCGGGAGGAACCCAAGTACCCAAAACAATTCGAAGATATTGACGCTCATTACATATCGAGCACTTTCTCGCTACACATCGTTCGTCCGCTGCAGCGCTGTATTTTGAGGGATGTAGTAAATCGCCTGCGGAATTCTCAATCAATGAGTCGAGCGAATTGGCTAAAAGATTGACCATTACGTTGTTCAAAAAGCGCTTGGAAGTCTCTCACTCATGACGTACTTCTCCTTTGAAAACTGAATCCTCCAAATACTTAGAACCTCTCAAAGAACGTCTGCATAGCAGAAGCATTAGTCACTCAATCCCAGATCTACTTACAACGGTAGGGAAGTCTTTCTTTGTGTTAGTAGTCGATGATATTTTACAATTCGTAATAACACCGATTTCGCTGATTTGAGCAACGTCTTGTGCAGCTTGAAGTTACTGCTTCCTTTGCGTATCTTCTGGACACCTGTCACATTCTTACAAAATACACTTCGTAAAATTTAGCAAAAAGATCTTGACACACGTCAGAGTGTAATGGTCAGAAGTTTGAGTACCTTTAGCACGTCCACTTATTACGTTTTCTAATGGCTGAGAGACAAACGCAAAAGAAATAAAAGTCTTGTTTCGAGCGACTCTCGGTCTTTGAGATATTTGTAGGTGTTTCGGAATTTGTGTTACCCGAGCCGCCGCTATTTGCAAGCCGATCTCTCACAAGCTCATCTCGAACCCTCAAAATCGATAACAATCTTCCCGATTGCACGAGCTTGCGGTCTGACTTTCTCAAAGTGAAGCAAAGAGACAGTACGGATACTACTCGCTTAGAATTTCCTCTGTATAACTTATCCTCATACAACGCGTAACTGCGCAGCAGGTGCATATCGCAAAGCATTCAAACAAGATTAGTTGCATACTAACAAACTATTTGCTAGAGTAAGATATTCCGACATTTTGATAGAGGTACAAAGAAGTCCACGTATTTTCCAATCAATTATCTTCTAAATGGCGTGGTAAGGAAAATCGAATTATTAGCATGATTTGTGTTATGTATAGGGCATTCGAAAAATCGTAACGATGGCGCGACCGCGCGCAAGACGCACGTTTCTTCCGGCAACCGCATTTTCTTGGCTTTCATTGGTACATTGAACGGTTTTTTTGCTCACATATTATAGTGTTTACACACTGGCAGTGACTGAATTGAGCTTTGAGCTGATGCCTTTTTGTATAACTGTTTTTCCCATGGGCGCACAGACCGCAGTCAAATTCGTCATCACGATTTCAAAATGACCTATACACATGATTAAGTTTCTTCTCTAATGTGCGCAAGTGCTTTTCCAAAATCTTGGCAGTGGAATGCAGTTTCGCAGTAGGGAAGTGTACGATGTGAAGTCTTCAAACACAGTTGTGCATCCACCAAAGGAAACTGAGAAACCCAAGGAAAACAATATCGTCCCTTCAAGCCCATCCTGAAAATGTGTAATTACACATACTAGCTGAACTAAAATGTAAATCTTCGTGCAGTCTACTTAGGTTTGAGATTATGATGATGACAGAATTTAGCAAAAGTGTAACAAAACTCCAATACCTTGGCAGTCAGTCTTACGCACCCAACAGTCAAAAGTTCAAAGGTCTTGTGAATGATTGCAAGAAATACTCCTAGTGCTAAAATTGATAATTGTTTCGTATATATATTGTTCGACAAATTTCTAGCTTTTATCGTTTGCAATGCTTCTTCACAGTACATTATACTTGGGTAAATTCGAAATTTTTCATCGAATGAATGAATATCGAATAAATTCGAAAATGAAAAATTTCGAATTAACGAATATCGAATAAATTCGAAAATAAAAAACCTCGAATAAACGAATGTCGAGTAAATTTGGGATTCAAAAATTCCCGAATGAATGAATCCAGAATAAAATCGGAAAATCAGAAATATCGAATGAATGAACATCGATGTATTGTACATGTATTCGAACATTGGGTGTCGAATTTCGAATAAATATTCGAATGACTTATCGAATAAATAGAGCAACCAGATCTAAAACTTGCTGACATAATCGGCTAAAGCCGATCCATTCATAATCAGCACCCTCATATTCATAATCATGCCGATCCATTCATAATCAGTACCCTCAAATCTTCCAAAAAACGGTGAACTCGATAAAATAGATTTGATTTTTAATCAGCAACCTCATTTACCCCCTCTACTAACTCCCAGCCTCGTAGCTCAAAATTTTCCAAAAATCGAAGGCAGCAAGGTAAATGTTTATTCATAATCAGAACCCCCTTTTCCCCTTGTACCAACTCAGCCTCGTAGCTCAAAATTTTCCAAAAATTGATAAAATCGACAAAACAAAATTTCATCCATAATCATCACCCTCCCTTGCTCCCTTGTACCAACTCCCACCCCATCTTGTAACTGGCAAATCGCATACGACTGTCGCGATTTGCCAGTTACAAGATGAAGTATGTGCGGGCCTGTCATAATCAAAGCTCGCATTGCTCAGTGTGGACCTTTCTCGTCCGGCTTTAGCCTTTACCATAGTAGCTGATAGGCTGATAGCTCCCGGTGTTAAAGTGTCTGCAAGCCTTCGTAAAGATCTTGGATACACTGTGATAACAGAACTATCATGTACTATATACTGAACAAAATTTTATCACAAGGTGATATGACTGCAAAATTCAGCAACCGTTTAATCCTCCACTACAGCTGCGATGTCCTTTACTTAAAATATAACAATTCGCGAGAATTTTCTAAGGTAAAGAATAGAGGCAGTTGTGCAGCATGAGTTTTTTACAAGCAAGAGTGCTCACTAGTAAGGACCTTTGCGTACTTAAAGGCAGCGTCCAGGCAAATCTGGACACATGAGGATCTCAAGTGGATAGTAATTTTGGGGCCCTAACTAAGCCACTGCCCAACCGGCAGCTCAAGTAGTGCTCCGAAGGCTGAGATCCCCTCGAAACTGGACCCCGCGATCGTATTCGCATGGATTCATGGCAGTTTCGCGCCAGAATCCCGCTTTGCGCCATGAATCCATGCGAAATACGATCGCGGGGTCCAGTTTCGATGGGAATATCTCAGCCGTTAGAGCACTACCTTGGGCAAAGCTTTAATTAAGGCACCAAAAGTACTTTTCACGTAAAATCCCCATAGTCCAGATTCGCCTAGACGCTGCCCCTTCAAAGCATAAACAATGCAAAGAAAGAGAAACAGGCATGTCAACACATTCCCAGTATATAAACTCGGAATATGAGCTTGAATCTGACAGCTGTTTTTTTGTTAATTTGGTGCCGATAGCAGTGCAAACTTCTAATTGATCGAAAAAGCATCAATTAAAATCCACACCTCTTTTTTACTGTCGCAAGCAGTCGGAGGAATGCGGCTTTCTGTACAGTTCAAAGGTCATCACGATGTAAAGAGATGCATTACCGAGTTTTGCGGAAAAAACGCAGACGAAGCGAGTTTGTTTTCAGCAGTTGGATCTGCAACAAACTCGAATAATTTTAGTACGGAGTTCATTCAAATACGAATTCGAATAAACATCCGAATAAAGCATTCGAATAAAATCTCTTCGAAATCCCGTTTTTTGATTATTCGAGTTTTGAACATTATTCGATTCTTCGTTTTTTGATTATTCGAGTTTCGAATTTTATTCGAAATCCCGTTTTTTCAGTTATTAGAGTTTCGAATATTATTCGAAAATGGAAAAACTCCGATGAATTTCGAATGCGAATTTATTCGAATGTTTTATTTATTTATTTTATTTTATTTATTTATTTCATACACGTAAACGCCAAAGCCTGGGTGAGTGACGAAAACATTGCTAGAGTAAAAAACTAGCCTGTCACCTTTCACCAGAACAAACAAACAGCGAATAAGGGCCTGGGTGTTGAGGAAGAGAAATTTCTATTTGGTCAAGGGAGGTCAGGTGATTGGCATTGGGGAATGCCACTGCCACTTTTCCGGGCTGTCCAAAACTCTGCAGTTGGTTCCTGCCAGGTATCCACCAACCTGACACCACCGACGCTTGGATACACCTGCCTTATTCTAAGAAAGCCATGCAAGAAATGCAGCTGTTTATTCGAATGGTCGAATTTCTATTCGATTCGGACCCAAGTATACAGTACATCGGTCAGCACATTCCAGAATTTATCTAAAGCGCGATGATATCAGTCGAGTGCAGCTCAGAAGTATCGGAAGAGTCCACAAAAAAGGACGTACCTTTTTTATTAGAAGCATAATTTTTTTGGTTCGGTCTTATGTGTCACTGCTGATTGATTTATGAATTTCCACTAAATATCATGCCTTCTTCCTCTATGTAGCACTTGCGTTTCAGTCGAGTGAGATTTCCACAAACCACTCCAAGGTTCCCCCGAATTGATTTCGATGACAGGCTTGAGGGACTTATGGATGATAGAAAGCCCGCTTGGAAAACATGGCAAGAGAGTGTAAAAGATTCATATCACAAGGTGGTCATTATCTACACTCGTCGTATATCATTTGAAAACAAAAGCAAATGTTCAAGGCCAAACGATCAGTCGAAAGAAGTAAAGATGAGACGCAGTTTTTGGAATCAGCACTGAGCCGAACGAGGAAGAGCAGGGCTGAAAGTCCGTTTAGGCAGCTCGACACAAGTAGTGGATTTATACCGAGTATTAGGTAAATCTAAAAAAATAGATCCTCTACGCGAATCCCATTTGTACAAAATTTTTCAGGTCGCAGAGTAGCATTACCATGCCATCGCTTTCTGATCGTTCTCGCTTCGTCTCCTCGTCCACAAGCAATGTCTTCGCTAGTTCGTTCTAACTGCAATGGATTCAGTGACAAAATATACAGCGGATATGATCCTTGTTCAGGTGGTTCCGGACCATATGCCGCTCCAGCGGTTTCATCTTCACAAGGGACTGAATCGAGATATGAGCAAAGAGCAAATGATGTTGAGGCAATGTGAGTCACTGAAAGGCGTCTCCCATATGATCAGTTCATACTTGAAGGCTACTAAAGACTGCTCCTCTTCCGGCTCGGATGAAGGTGATAACGGCAAAAGAGTTCCGCAATGCTCCAGCTCCATCGGCTGGATCAGCATCAGACCTGGATGACTACGACTTTTCTGTAAATTTTAGCCACATTTGTGCGACCCAGACTTCTAAATAGATAATGCTCTTTATAGCGATATGCTCCTAAACCGTATTACTCTCGACCGAATCGGGATGATCCCGATTACTTCGATTTTGACTTGCAACATTCCGTAGACCTGTTCAGACGTCCAGAAGGAAAGTATACTCCCAGAGGGTTCGTTCCAAATTTCAAATTCGAATTCCAGATTCTTTCTCAGAATTACGTGTTTTCCCAAGATTTTGTTATGATTTTTTGATGAGCTCTGAATATCTGATGTGTGGCTGCAACGTTTTGCATCGCCTTCTCTTTTCTCATTTAATCAATAAGTTCATAGTAGTTCTCGAGGTAAAGCACTTACTTGCTACAATTATACTTCACGTTAGATTCCTTGCGTGCTCCTTTTGGTTCTGTATTTTAGGCTAGAATATGGCATTGAAGGCTCACCCCGCGTAATCTTTTCAAATTCACTTGTTTCATTCATAGAGAGCATTAGCAATACGAAATGGGGCGCAGAAGTTTTCTTAACTCACAAGATTTCAGGCCTCAAGAATGGGAAACAAAATTGCTAGGCGAAGTAAGCGCCAAAGGGCCAACACCAGTTTCTGGATATATGTTCACAAAGGTAAGTCCATCGAAGTCAGTACCTTTTCGTCTCTTTCGCTTAGCAAGAAACATAGGGAGATCCTGACTGGCGCACGAACGGCTCATCTTACTTAAGCGCAGCCTTGCGGACACCAAAGTTCTGGGAGCAAAGATTCGAGAGTTTGGGAAAGCAAGTGAGAGAAAGTAATCCAATCAGCCTCGACAGTATAAACAGGTACCGTAATTCCACTCCAATACGATGTGACCGATATCTGTCCAGAGCTGTGGCTCGAGTCCAATTGCTTACTTCTTACCGTCTTGTCTCAATTGTTGTCCGTGTCGTGTCATGTTTGTTTAGGAGAATAATCGAAATCCAGAATAGGAGATTGTAAGACTTTATGTTTGCAACTTTACCCTTAAGCACCGCACAGATTAGCACATTTCACACTTGGTGACATATACAACAAAAGATGTCGCGAAAAAGGTGCTTTTTATCTCAAAAACCTGTTTATGTCATTGTCAGCTTTTTGGCAGAACCTTGGTTCCTCTTTATTAGAAATAAAAGACTGATTCTTATGGTACTTTGGAAAGTAATACATTTGTATCTCTCAACTGCGATGCTTTAAGTAGGTACTTCATCCTGGAATTAGCCTATCTCGGCTTCGTGAATGTAGCAAAACTTACGGTATCACCTCGATTGTTGAAATCTCGCATTCTTTTTCGGTTATTTTTGTGGAATTTTCTGGAGCACCTTTTGAGTTTTTTTTCTATCTCCGGATTGTCCAAGCACTAAAAATTTTTTTCTTGGCTAAATCACGAAGATGTTCCCTGTGCACTGCAGCATTCACCTATGAAGATTTCAATCTCTTCTCGACCAATACACTTCGCATTTCAGCAAATGTTTAATTTTTCAATATACCGTATCCGCATCCGAGAAAGCTAGAATCATGTAATATTTTGTGTTGATTTGTAAACGTATATTGTGTCCAACAATGTTCTCGATTATGACATGTGCAGGTAACTTAATATAGAGCGAGACTACTCTTCAGAAATAGCACTCACTGCGTGCTCACCGTGCACTTTTGTGATACAACACTTCAGAAGCAGTTGATTCCATGTTTCCATGCACTACCACTATGTTTCCTTCATTTTTCCAAAATGATTGCCGTTGCTTAGGAATCGTCCTCAACCTAGCCGATTCACTGAATACGTTGATCCTGATTTTGAAGACTATGAAGACCCAAGACTCGACGACTAAAATGCCCGCAAGCTGTATCGGCAACCTTCGTGTGAGAAGGTTGTGATCAGTACGTGATAATTATGTCATTTTAGGAGGCTTTTCTTTTGTTTATCGAGCTTACTATTCTTTTTTCGAAATTGGGTTTGTTATTACAATGTACACAATTTGATTCGCTACAAACTGCAACAAAACGGTCATAATTTACTGCCGAAAAAGCTCAGTTTGTACCCTTTCCCCATATCTACCGCGTAGTTCAGTTGTGCACATCGGCTCCCGGCGTACCAACCAAGGCTTTTATTTGTTTTATCAGAGTGTGTTTCGCCTCAATTCACTTCCTTTTTAAACTTTATTTTGTGATATTTTGTTATCATTTGATGTTCAAGCTTGACTGCTTTTACGTTAGTAAATTTGATACGGAAACCGCTGAATGGAGATCTAGTCAGTGTATAAAGAATGAATTTTTTGTTGACTACATATCATTTTGCGTATATCCTATACTGTTTTATGAGAATTTGCGATAAATTTTTTTTCTGTCTTTGTGCCTTAGGATGACTGTGGAAGAAGGATGCACGAAAATACTGCAAAGCATAAAGTCCAGTAAGATTACTATCAATGTGCACCTAGGTGCCTACGGACAACACTTGCAGGATAAAACTTGCCATGCTTGTGGTGCCAAAAATGTTAGTTCGTGAAAGTGGCCATGGAGGACATTTTGAAGTTTGTTGAAAGAGTAGAGGGATGAGGACAATAGGCATCCAGCAAGGGGCTCGAGCTTCACACTCAGATAAGCGTTAAACATTGGGCCACGCTTCCTAGGCCTAGGGCATACCTCCCGCGATTGCAGTCGTGACGCATCTGACAAAAATGCGCTTACGATGGGTTATAAATATTTGGAGTAAGTCGAGCAGCCATTGAAATCGCGTGTAGTATAGCTGGGCCTTACTCGTTCTTGCGCGAGTTCTACGAGTACGTACATATAGTTAGCCTTCTTTTCCCTGAGACGCTGGCACACACTAGTAGCAGTGAGGACCCCGACTTTTATGCTTTAATCACCTTTGTTTCTCTGATTTCGAACATTTCAGATTTATTACCGAAGGACTGACAAATGTCAAGGAAAACAAAAATCTATAGCTTTTACGCTACGAATGAGATTCGACTGTCCCGGATCTAGAGCCCGACACCCGTTTTTCTAGCTTTCGTATGTTTTGTATAACGAAGTTCCCCCTGACTTTGGAATATACAAAGTCTTCCCTGATAGATAGCACGCATATGCAAAATAACGATTTATACAGGACGCTGTAATAGATTCTTTTAGCTCGCTTGGAGGTCGGATTACGTATAAGCAAAATAAGAAAATGCAGGGAAAATGCATGAGGAAAGAAAAGGAGGAAAGAAGAAAGAGAACAAAGAGTAAGTAAGTTGATGATCTTGCAAAACCTACCCTATCACGAGCACAAAACACACCTGTTTTTTTTCTAAACTAGATAAGCCTGAACACATCATAAAATTTTGCGAGCAAGGGGCCCGCAAGAAATGGGTACAAGTTACGCACGTTCAAGTCATATCGGAACGCAGTATATATCAGACCGAGTTTTTGTCAATGTATGAAAGAGAGGCGACGATATAAATTGGTTTTGTTTGGAGGTGGCTTTAACCGCCGTGATGAAAATTCGAAACTCATGTGAACTTACAGAAATACAGTGGCCGAAAAAAGTTGCGGACAAGCCGCCTTCTTTTTTTCATCGCTCATTTTCGGATGGAAAACAAAGGTAAAAAAGTAATAAGATTGCATGAGATGATAGAGCTCTTCAAGAGCTACAACCCGCACATTGCACTTTCTGAAAAATATGTATTATAAGAATTTTAAAAATCTTTTTCTAAAAAAAGTCCGAAAATGGCTGCGTCACATTGTTGCGGACAATAATTCTTCGAACGCAAAAATTTTCCTTCAGGTCTTTGTTTGGCGCAAAAACAGAAGTTTTCCTGACAGATAAGCATACCACATTATAGAGAGTGGAGTTTTATGTAGATTCAAGTGACGCGCTGGGCCTAGATGCAAGCAGAAGCTTGCATTTCCTTTCAAGCACTTTTACCCAAAACCTAAGCCGTATTATAATATGAGTACTAGAGAATGAATGTATTAGTCCGTTGATGACCAGAAATGAACGATATAATGGAGCGATTGGAAGAGAAGCCTCTACCAACGCAGCTTCCTTTTTATCATTTTGAGCTTTTCACTACCTTGGCTTCATATAAGAGGTGCAAAATTGGGGGGGGGGGGGAGGGTTGGATACGGCAGGTCCATTTGTCGTTTCAGGAACAGTATTTGGGGACCGAAACCGCGAATATGCTTCACTTTGAGGGCCTATTTATAGACTGCACTATGGTCTGGGTATCAAGTCATTTTTTCTAAAGTCGATTCAGGAATTACAGCGAAATATGTGTGTCAGTTCAACCAAACGGGTGAGAAAACTTAAGGACGAGATTGTTTGCTTCACATGAATTTTTTTGCAGCATATGATTGACCAAAGTGAATATCAGTATGTATGCGCTATTAATGCCTTTACAAGCCATTATCCTTTTCCAGTTTGATCATTTTCCTTAGAATATAAGGGTAACAAAAATATAACTTCACTTATTTCTGACAATGAGAAGCCTTTTGAAGCTTCTTCCAGTTACCTCATCAAAATTGGCCTGACGCGCGTACGCTGGCCGAGGTTTCGCGTCACGTAAGTTAGGCGCCAGACATATAGGCAGGCTACTGCATGACGAAGGCGCAATATCTTTGGGCGCAAACGCGGCTTTATTAGCCGCAGAGCGCATGAGGCGCAGAGTCTACAACGTAAAGGTATGCATGCGCCGCGTTCGCTCCCGCTCAACTGATACTGCTTCTGCGCCCTCGTCCTGCAGCAGCCTTTAGGTACAGTAAGTTTCGACCCGCTTTAGGCGGAAATTGGATTGGCGGGTGTCCGCCCCGCAACGGTTCGCGCCGTTTCGCAGCTACAATACGCCTCGTCGTCCTAAAACCCAAGTCTGCGTCTCTTCATTACGCCCTGCTCCACGTAGAATGATCCGCCTATTCCGGAATGAAACCGATTAGTTCAGTCGCACCCGGTTCACCCTCACTAGGTCATATCAGTGATCTGACCAATAGCGAATGGGTGAAACAGATGAACCGGTCCAACCGGATGAGTCTGACACCTAAGTAACGTTATGTGACATGACTTATGTCTGTTCTCTATTCAATTTTTTAATCGGGCTAGCAAATTGCCCGACCAAAAAGTGCGCGTGCCGCACAGCTAACCCAGACCGCTGGCGCTGCTCATGCGCGGTGCTATGCCATGTTCCAAGCTAATCTCGAGATACCTTCTTCACTGACATCGACCACCACTTAGTGCGCTTGCCCCAGATCCTAGCAAATAGGTGACCAGAAGAGTTCAGCCGCTCTGATTCGAGCGTGACTGAAGATCGATGGCGTGCGTCAAAGCAGAGCTCATCTTTATTCCTCCTTCAGTTGCTAAGGTAGCCTCACCAGTGGTCCTCGCTATGCAGTGATGCAGAGAAGAAAACGAGCACTGAGGTGAGAGCACCTTATTCGTCTCTCAACCGTAGGCAGCCGTTACTTGAAGCTGGATGCAAGTCACGCCATGCAGCGGGAACATGGCATTGAGACGCACGAAAGCGATCTTGGTACACACTTTAGGGAGATTCTCTTAATGCTATAGTCTTCCTTAATCCACTAGACATCACATCCAAAAGGCAAGTTCGAATTTCAGACTTGAGCAGGCTGGCTGCAGTAGAGCTCGGCACCACAACCCTCAGTTTAACACATTGACGACAAGGCCGATGAATTCAAAATTTTTCGTTGAATGAATGAATATCCAATAAGTAACCAGAAAGTTGTAAACGAGTATCGACTGAATTTGAAATTTGAAAATTTTGAATAAACGAATACCGAATAAAGATTGTGTGGAGAGTGAGGGTCGAATTTCGAATAAATATTCGAATGATTTATTCGAATGGCTAGACATTCGGATAAACAACAACCATACCTAAAACTTGCTGACATACCCGGTTCGGTCGCTGTGGTTCTGCTCGCAACTCCAATAATTTGAATACAGATTTCACTCGAATACGAATTGAATTTGAACATTCGAATAAAATGTTTGTATGATATTCGTTTAAAATCTCGGCTTCCAATAATTCGTGTTTTTTTTTACGAAACCCCGTTTTTTGATTACTCGAATATTGATTATACTTGGAATCTCGATTCGAGTTTTCGAATTTTATTGAAAAAAGAAAACTCCGAGTTTCTAATTTTAAATGCGAATACGAATATTTCATCCGAATGATCGAATTTTTGTTCGATTCGGACCAAATTATACCAGTAGGGTGAGAACGACTATACGGTAGTCATGGTCACACGACGCATGGTAATTGCTTTGCGCTCGAATTTCGTTCTCACAAAAACTTTCTGCTGTTAGAGTTTCCTGTGGCAGATACAACGGGGTGGGGCAGATACTTGATTCGATGCTATAAGTAATCTGTGGTAGAACTACTGAAACAGCTGCGTTTGTGCTGGTTGTGGCCGCTCCGAAAAATTCGCGCAATTCGTGAGGCCTGAAGTTCTCTACTCTCTTATCATTATGTCTACTGGCAACTGAAGCCTTTGGAAAGGTCCGTCGAAGAGTTTCCGAGAGTTGTAACGACCGACTTGAACCCTTCAAATGGGGTGGAGAAGGAGAAACAAGTACAGTCTGTGTCAACCGAGTTCAGACCGAAACTGGAATCGCGTCCGCCTCGAACGGTTCGCGCAGTATCGGAACTATTAGGTTGTAAAGAAAGTTCCCGGGCAGTTTTGGAAATTCAGTCTGAATATGTCGGTCAGTCTGAATAAGGATGCTGTCTGCCTTACAACCGCAGCTGAGCTCGAATTTTACAGTACGCGCACAAAAATTACAAGCTATGGTAGCGGAAGCAGGTATGGTCAACTTGCCTTTGACCATACCTGCTTCCGCAGTCGGCATCGATTTTGTAAGGATCGTCATGCCTCGTTGAAGGGCCCAAAAGATGTGCAAGACATTACCCCGACCAAATTTGCAGCAATCAAAGATTTGATTCCTTCCATGGAAAGAGAGAAGACTTCAAACTCATTTACTCAAAAAATGGAGTATTTTTAGGGTGCAAAAATGGCCTATTTTTCAATTTTTCGAGAAATTTTTCTTCAAAGGCTGTGCTCCAAAATTATGACACAGCCCATAAACAGCCCCAGTGGAGTTCTACATAACTACCGGATATGAGCTCTTCAGCTCTCTTCGTGCCTAAGAAATTCCTGCACAAACAGGCTGAATTTCAAGTTGACCTTTTTCCCTACTGCGCATTGGTGGCCCAGAAAAAAGCGCTGACTATCCAGTAATGTAAGCATACCTTGTAAGATAACATTGCCTTTGCAGCGAAGTTTGCAGCTCTCAAAAAGGATCAATCTGCTTGAACTTACAACAGTCTGAAAAAAAATTTCGCAAGTGCCCGGGAACTTTCTTTACAACCTAATATCATATTAGGTTGGTCCGAAAGTTCTGTCCCACCATTTTCAAAAAATTGTAACTCCTTCTTAACACGATGTTTTTGCATGGATAAAACCATATTGAAACGAGCAATTCATGTACTTTCTAAAATTGCTTTGGCTGCTATTCATTAAGCTCTGAATGCAGAGATAAAATTGGAGAGAGGAAATCACTTCAATTTCGGAATTTTTAAGCAAGCCCGTTAAAAAATCCAAAAGTGTGCCATAAAATCCAAACCTGGCAGTATCCTAGGTTTTTTGATCCCTCTTTCCATATGAGCAAAATTCGCGCTGATAGAGCTCTTTTGAAAGAAGTTATGATTTTCAAGAAAAAATGCCAAAAAATCAGTTTCTTAAGAAAATTAATTTTTTGACATTTTTTTAAAAAATCATATCTTTTCGGAGAACAGCTCGATCAGCGCAAATTTTGCTCAGCTAGAAAGATGGGTTCAAAAAATCTAGGATACTGGCTGTTTTGGATTTTATGGCACAGTTCTAGATTTTTTTTAACGGGCTTGCTTCAAAATTCCGAGTTTGAAGTGATTTCGTTTTCCCAATTTTTCCTCTGCTTTCAGGGCTTAGTAGATAGCAGCCAAGACGTTTCTAGAAAGTGCATGAATTGCTATTTTCAATGTGGTTTTATTCTTGCAAAAACATTGTGTTAGGAAGGAGTTACGATTTTTTGAAAATGGTGGGACAAAACTTTCGGACCAACCTAATATATAGGTTGTCCGGATTAGCAGGTTTTTGCAAATGTTTTTTTTTTGATAGGATCGTTCTTCTGTATATGTGCGTCTTGTGACCAACTTCGCATACTATAAGGAACGTTCTTCATGCTTTCTCTCATATATCTTACTGCTACGGTCAACTCTATTTGTTAAAATTGTACGACCATCCGAAGATGAAGCTTTGAATCACAAAATTTACTTTGCACCAATTTGGCGAACTCATTAGGCAAGAGGAGTATTTCCATGATAATAGAGCTAAAGCAAGATGTGAATCTAGAAAATGAAGAGTAGCGCTTCCTTGTAACGATTGTGAGAGCAGAGAAACTGAGGCTTCAACATGACCAGTTGCCACCTCACTGCCTAAGAAGCTTTGGGCCTGTCGTCAGGTACTGTTTCAGCTGGTACCTTCCGGGCTTTATTTTGAGTAAATAAAAAATTCCAAAATTTCAGAGATCGCATAGAGAAGCCATTGGAAAAATGGAAATTTATTCCGCAATTTTTTGTTTTGCAGAAAATCCCTTAACAATTCCAGCACAGCTATATATGTAGCACTGGTTTGTTACTATAAGCTGCAGAAGTTTCTCGCTGAACACTCATTTCCGATAGGAGTTTACAAATTGCCAAAGATGACTTTGTTAGAAAAAACCTTTCTTTCTGGTTTCCACTAAGCTTGTTGGAGCTAAAGGTATAAGTGGCCATCCACTAGATAGAGACTTGCTGATCACGACGGTTTTTTACGTCATTTCAAAGTACGCAATTTCGAAGGAGCTATGACACTTTAGAATGCAATTTTGCGAAACCTGCATTGATTTTCGGACAACCTAATAGTTGTCGCTAGAAACTCATGACCTCTCCATTCTCTCCGGTCTCTAATTGGAAAAATGTCAGCACTGTTTGCTTGAAGGCACCGTCCACCAAATTCTCGGCCTCCATGTTTTTGTCGTTCCAGGGCCTCATCATGTCCCTGATTCCGAATATCAAGTCGAGAGCCCGCGGAAACTCCGACAAACCCCGTTTTGGAGAACCCACAGGGCGAGTTGTGTGGAACGGTGATTGGTAGGTGCACTCAAATGGGCGGGGCGAACGTCACGCCCACTTGAAGGGGAGGAGTCAACGTGGCGAATCCGTCATCCAAAGCGATTTTTGAAGCAATTTTCTCGCTTCGGAAGCAACTTCTGACAGCGCGAGTTGAGTAGGTATACAGCTGGGGGTCACATTACTATTAGGCATCAAAATCTCATCCATCACAGTTTGGGTGGACGGTGCCTTCAAAGCCTTCTGCGAAGCGGTAGCACTGGCACAAAAATGCTTCGATCGATACCCTTTGAAACAGCCTGTAGACAACCCTACTGGTACCTTGTCCTTGGAGATTGAGAACAACCAACAAACACGTTGAACGCTCTTATTACACACATATGCAAATAAATACTGTAAAATGGCTGATAATAAGTATATAACAGAACACCTGTGTTGCACGACACGCAACGAATGCAGCAGGAAATTTTAAATCACGATTGCCAGGGCGTCTCCGACAGTTATACCCTGTGTTTTGCAGTATGTACACGGAACAGTGAGATCAGAAACGCGAAAGAACAACAAACGACGGAAGGGGAAGCAGTTCAAAGCGTGAGACATTTTCCTGATTGACGTGATAATGGGCCGTCGGTTTCTTCTTGGTACACACATGTAGTACCCGTCGGACATTCGCACAACCTAGAAAAATCTCGTTCATATGGTAAACTTCTCAACAGATTTGAAAAGAGTGGTACTGAGGATGTCTACGAACTACTGCGAATTGACTTCTTCGAATTCTTAGCGCAGATGCAGGGGAACACAAGAAAGCCTTATGACTTGAAATATTAGGTTGAACACTAAGTTTTGCAACTGGTTCCATAACTTCACTCTCACTCAACATGGCGCGCTCAAACTTTGGCATTATGTAGAATACAATGTGAGCTACAAGTGAGCACAAATTGTCTAAATTTTGAGCACGAAATAGAAGAGTTTAAGGCATTTTTCGAAAACTAGTGAAATTTGAGAATTTGGGGTTTCAAGCTAAAATGAAGCCTTTAGCAGCCTAGACCATGCGCAGTAATCCGGGTTCGTCTACAAATTAATGCTGGAGGTTGACTCTTTTGGCTTAGTGAGACAGAAACAGAATTTATGGTCATGTCGAGACTTGGCGTCTTCACAAAGTCGAACGAGTCGATGTACGCAAGAGCTGCTAGGGAGGACCGTCAAAGACTAAAGAGTCCGAAGCTCAAATTCCGCCGAGACTTCACATAGTAAGGTTATTTGACCTGCCGAACGCGAATATCATATTCATTTGATGAATCAACGCCTTATTTCCTTGTTTAGGTAAGACCCCATAACGTACGCTTACAGTAATCCTACAAAAAAGCCCTTATCATGCAATTTCACTATCGCTTTCGTGATCAGCATGTCGGATAACACCCCTATTCCAAGTTTCAGCCAAATCCGTCAAACTTTGAATTTTTTCCCTTCATACAATATACCTACCGTAACCCTCACTGCGACGTCAGAATTTGGTAGGACAGTAGCTGCGTTTGTAGCTTACGTAATAACCAACACAGTGGCAAAATTTGAGTGCGCCATGTTGAGTAAGAGGGAAGTTATGAAACCACTTGCAAAACTTAGTGTTCAGCCTAATAATCCGCTGGAAAGGAAATGTATTGCCATGATCACTCTTGCAAACTTGGTATGCTCAGATAAGTGTGATCTCTGGTTTGAGTTTTCGGCTTGACCAGTATTGATACTTCATGAACAACTGCATGTGAGAGGGCGTCGTAGGAGAAGTGATTCTCTACTTTACATAAGCTATACGCGAATTTGTAACCTCTTCTGCTTTCTCAGTCTTGGACGAGAACTCAGAATTTTTTTGAAATCATGCACGAGAAGAAGTATGTGACATGAACGCTACCACTCTCTCAGACAATCGGTGCCGTAACTCTGGAGGACAGTCGAAATCTGGCAGAGCTGCGGAGGACCCAATTGACCATTGAGAGCGGGGCGAGGGGGCGGTCCCTTTCTGTGACGTCACGGTGACGTCACAAGAAGGCAGACGGGACCCCTCTGGCGGGCTTGCAAATCTCTGCTCCGGAGGTACGCCAGATTTGGGAGAGCCCCGGAGCACAGATTTGCGCTCCGGAGGTACGCCAGATTTGGGACACCTCCGGAGCACAAAATGGGAGGTCTCCGGAGCACAAAATGGGATGTTTCTGGAGCACAAAATGGGAGGTCTCCGGAGCACAAAATGGGAGGTCTCCGGAGCAAAAAATGGGAAGACTCCGGAGCATAAATGGGAGGTCTCCGGAGTACAAAACGGGAGGGCTCCGGAGCACGAGTGGCAAACCCCCGCTGGGGAAACCCCGTGGCTCTGCCATTTCTGCTCCGGAGGTATGCCGTCGACTGTCTGAGCTGGAGTAACACCAAAAACGCTTACCTCATCTCGCCCACAAAACTTCTCAATCCACACGCCTCTGTGCTGTTGCAGATTCGCCTCTGAAAAACATAACTCGATGCTTGGACATAATAATTTTGTTAGCACTTCCACTCAACAACAGTTTATTGCGTTGAAAATTAGTAACGGGTTGGAAAGAGGAGTGAGTTATGTCGAACAAAGGTAGTCGCGTACGTCTGGCAAACGAAACGCGTGCAAGACTAAACACATTGAAAAGCAAATGTAGATTTACACCTGTGGGTGGCTGGTGCATCGTTCTTTTCAACAAGATGATTTCTTCTACATCCGAGTAAGGCTTAAAAATTTTGCGATGAAACGACTCAAGGATGAAATAATGAGCTAAACCAAGCAAACATTTTCAAGAAAAATCCTGTAAAATTCTGCAGCCAAAAGCCTTTGTGGTGGCATACCCATACAATAAAGTCGGCCATATTATTCCCATAACTCCTGCGATTTGTAGGATTTTTGTGGCTCGTGTGATTTCATTGTTGCCTGCGATTCCCGTGATTCGCGTAATACAAAGCGTAGAAAATTCCACTTCGAGAAAGCAGGTACAATAATGAATGATACTCACTGCTAATCTTTGGTTTTGTTCTGCCAAAACTACTCAATTACGAGCTGTGCTTTAACGTCACGCGATGTGCCATCGAAGAAAGAAGAGGTACCAAAACGCAGGAAAGAACCTACGCGTAAGCAAGGATCATAGTTGGAAGCTACATATTGTGTATCGATTGGCAAATAAATCTTAAGTTTTGAATCTCTATAAAGTTAATGCCTTGCTGGCTGTGACTGCTAAAAAATGCGCGAAGTGCAAACTTTGACGCGCTCAACAAAGTTATCTTTATTTAGGCAGGAGGCAAGAGTTTCCGCGCTCCACGGATTACGGTGGTCCAAGAATCACATCGCAGAAATCGCAGGAATCACTGGAATAGCAAAAACCGACGCTGACAAAGGCGGTCGCTCTATTTTGCGAAACGAGTGCGAACGCGTTCGCGCATCTTTCAACATCGGAGCTCGTACGCTCGCGCATGCTTCGCCTACACGAACAGCCGTCTTCGTCTGCGACTAGTCTTTATGGCCGGGCTCAGATTCCTCTCTACGCTAATTTACTTGACAAGTAAGGGTTAGATCACCTGTCGACAGGCATAGCTGGTGACACCCTTCTCCTCGCTTGGTTCTTGGATGAGATCGTGTTCTTCAGGGCAAGTGCAATGAATCGCTGTTTGTATTCCAGTGACAGTAGTTGATATATCACCGTCTTTACATGCTGGTACAATCCGAGGTGAACAGAACTGAAAAAACCTTTTTCGTGCCTTCCAAGATTGTACAATATTACAGCCTGGCATGAATGAACGTTATTTGGGTCCAGACCCACAATAGTAACGTATAATGCCCCTCTTCAATAAAATTTTGAAGAGCTACAAGAGCAGCAGTATTTTCCAGGACATTTCATTTGATATGCTCACAATATTGCCAAGGACTGTTCACAACGAAAAAAAACAATCTTTGTCTAAAGGAGACAATTGCCGAATGGCTTGAAAATCTTCACGACTGGTATCCATTTTGGAAATTTTCTTTTCAGGTTTACGATATTTGCCCTGGTTCAACTAGAACTTTCCGATCAAGGGACAACAAAGATGCATTGAGTCTATTTTATAGAATTAGATGCCGATTCAACAAACTTCATTAGAGGCACAGCTCGGCAGAATGACAAATTTGGGACATTCATCGTTCTCGGTTCCCGATGAGCTAAGTTCAATACTGTGCTTGCAGCTTCAAAAAATATCAATAACCCGCTTTTCCAGAAGTGAAAAGTGCTGTTTGGGAGGGTCGCGAAAGTGGCTGCTTGGGGCCAATAATCAGGGCCCGGCACACGTTGGTTTGGAGCACTTTTGGAAACGAAGTCCCCCATGACTTTGCGAAAATTTGCGAAGTCCCGCTTGACGTAAAAATCAGTAGGGAAACCCTTTTTCAATAAAAAAAGCATAAAAAAGCGAAAAAAAGCGCATTTTGAGGTACCTAATATGACAACAAAGCAAAAAGAAAACAGCCAAAACTTATGTACATTCTTCGATATTTATGCTCGAACCAACCCAGTTGGTTTGGTGTTGGTCTAGAAACCAACAAATTCGGGAACGGTTATCAGGACACATAAGTTTTCGAAACTTTTTACATAACATAGTTTGGAGTAATATTGCATACACATAGCCCAAATTCGGAGCCATATGATTGTTTGTGCGCTGTAAACAAGCCATGTTTGTTTGAGTTTTGCGTTTGAAATCCGCGCGCTTACGAAAGAACACGTTCAACTCGTGAAACCTAACATATTCGTCGTTTTTTTTCGGCGCTTCCTTCAGAACCTTATAAAAACTATATCCCCTCGCGTCTAATTTCAAAAACGAAGTCCAGTTTGACCTCAGACCATCTGTGCCGGGCCCTGCCAGTAGTCCAATTGTCGCCGAGATGGGTACTGTTTCTATTCACGAGCCAATCGCGCTCTAGAGGGCAGGCATGCGCCGTCTGCCCAAATAGCACTTTTCACGTCCGGAAAAGCGGGTTGTTGATATACTTTGGAGCTGCAAAGCACAGTCCTGAACTTAGCTCATACATGGGAACCGAAAACGATGATTATCCCAAAGTTGTCATTTTGCCGAGTCGCTTCCTTTAAGTCATCGCTGCAACGAAAAAATGCGTACTTCCTGCTGGATTCTGGCCATGACTGTGGGTTAGCACACGACACTTTGATTATATATCTGTTTTGATGAAACCTTCTCGAATAAGAGACTTTCGATTTAGTTACATGCAAGTTTACAATACATACAAGTTTATTTCAGCGGATTAGGACGCAATGAATGCTCATACAGGGTCTCCCAAAAAATGTGAACACTGTTTGATCGTTAATAACTCCGTTGCTTTCATGTCTTTCGCCGAGCTTGAGGCACCATTCTGTGGAGCGAGGTTCAACTTAGATTTGTAGTATGAAGTGAATCACCGATCGCTGTTCGTTACTGTAGGATTACGGTGTGAACTTCTAGCATGTGGATCTACTGTGAAATATGCCATTTGATAAAAGTTTTTTCAAAAAATTTAAAAAATCATGTACTAGGGTTTTCGTGCACGCTGATTCCATTAGATAACTTTTTACGAGTGTTTTTAGCTTTTTTGACGGTGTAGTCACATTTCTTACAGAAGCTGGAAATTCAGTTATTATGGTTTACCTAGGATAACCTCGGGAAAGAAGCATCACAGTAAAGTGGAAATTTCATATTCGAAATCAGCGCCTTCCATTACCATAGTACAGACGTTTTTGGCTTCTTTGGTTTTGTTCCGAGGCAGAATATGGCCTCCAATGGCCTAAAATCCTTGTCGAAGTTTCTACCGTAATCCTACAGTGATGAAGAGCGGTCAACGATTCGCTCCATACTGTAAATCTAAGTTAAACCTCGCTCTATAGAATGGTGCCTCAAGCTCGGCAAAAGACATGAAAGCAAGGGAGTTATTAACAATCAAACAGTGTTCACATTTTTTTGGGACACCCTGTATATCAAAAAAAAAGCAGTTTTTTATTGTTATGTTCCTTCTATATTCGAGTGGAATTTCCGTTCAGTATAGTGTGCTTGCGGTGCCGAGATACGGGTAAAATTTGTGCGCGAACGAAGAGCGACACCAGTGACGCTGGTATTTGCTCGCGCAAGTGGTCGCCATTATTGGCCTGTCTATACTTGATTCGTTGACCGCACGGACTGGACATCACTACGGAGCACGCGTTGCGAGTAGGACGCTTGCTCCAGTACAAATTCACCATTGTACAAGTCGTGCTCTCGCGACAATTCAGCCGCGCGGCGCGTGGTCCGCAGGGTTTAGGCAGTCCGTGCGGTCCACGAGTTGACGATATTTATTTACGCCAAATCTCTACTGCACCATCTGGCACCGCAAGTACTCTACATAGAGGAAATTCCACTCGACTGTATATATTATCTGCGATCTGCTTATGTCATCATCTAGTGATCCCTAGCTGACCACTTATCTTTCAAGTAGGTTAAAGATCACGAAAATTTGCTGAGGATCTAATCCAGCAATGATAAGCAAATTACTAGTGGTAAAATGATATAAGACAGTAGGATTTTGATATGTTAAGATAGTAGGATTTTCGCTAAACATCGCGAGAACTGGTTCATCGATTCATAACTTAGACATCTTATTTGTTAAAGCCAATAAAATATTAGCACAACACTGTGATGTTTTCGTCAAAGGCACTGTCCACCCAGATTCACGACTTCCATGTTCTGATCCTCTCGGGCCTTCGCATGTCCCTGATTCCGAATGTAAAGTCAAGAATCTGCGCAAACCTCGACCGTTCCGGAGAACCCGCAGTCCGCCTTTCCGGAACGGTGATTGGATGGGCGCGCACAGATGGGCGGGAATTACTGGAGGGGGCGGCGCTGACTTTGGGTCCTCATGCATCTTTGCTATTCCGGAGTGCTTTTCTCGCTTCCGAAGCGACATTTTGCGCGCGGCATGGGTATTGGCTTGATAGGGGGCCCTACTATAATCAGCTGCCAAAAACTTTAGACTCTTTGCTTAGGGTGGACGGTGCCATTAAGTCTATAAAAGATCAATGCTTTCGAAAAAAGGCATCAGCCGCTAGAGATCACTAGAATAGTACAGTACTAGAAAGCTAAAGCCTAGTTTATACCTCCCCCTCCCCCCTCTCTCACCATTGCAAGGGATGTTAATGCATGCGATCCTCATAGTACTTCTGTATTAACTTTTACTGTGTTTCGAACAATTTTTCTAGCATTTCATATTTTATGTCAAATGTTGAGATTTCCACACTCTTAGCGCAAGAGATTTGTTCGCACTGATACAGAAAGATCTTGACTAACTGGTTGTAAGCAGTCATCTCCCTGTTATCCTTTGTTTTTAAAGTAAGCATTGTTTCAGCACAGGACTTGCACAAACTCGCAAACTCACATAATAACGCGTTCCTCTGTGTTCGACAGCATTTTCCGGCTCTTTTGGGCACAATTTTTCTTCACCTGGACAATCGCATAATGCAAAAACTACACCAAGAGCTTTGTATGAGCAAGTTTCTTCTTCACTGCATGTCGGTCTTCGGTATTCCCGCTGAAAATATCGAATTGGTGACGAGTTGGATAAAAATTTGAATTGCTGCAGTGGCGTACCCAGGGTTTCCGTGCGGGGATGGGGGAGGGGAGGGGGGGGGGGGGGGAGGGGGTGCGCGACAAAACGCACCCAGAAAATTTTTTTGGTATGCTTCTCAAAATTTTCGCGGTCTGAATTGATTTTTTTGAGCAATTTCAAAAATCATCTTGGTCTACAAGTGAAAACAAGTTCGCACATGTTTATAACTCATGTAAGTAGCTTTCAGGAATTTCGCGACCCATTCTCGGGGGAGGGCATTCCCCCCCTCCCCCCCCCCCCCCCTCCCGCCGCCCCGGTACGCCACTGCATTGATGCTTAATACATATCAGAGCTACCAAAAAGGATCGAATATATCAACAATGATATATTAGGTTGTTTCATAAGTTCGTAGCGTTTTTATCTTCTTCCTCATAAAGAGCGGTTAAAACGCGGCAAGATGCATAGGCGATTGGAAAGCCCTGATCATGCCGCAAATGAAACTGAAAATCGCTGGACAAGAAGAAGACCATCGACCATATCGTAGTCAAATAAACTGCACCTCTAAAAGAGGCCATACCGCAGAAAAGACCAAATATTAGGTTGTCCCGAAAGTTGTGTCCGTTTTTTCATCTCTCACTATAACTCACAGAACACTTATACATGGACTTACTCAGACACTCGGTGCGTGCGGCGCACGCGCCTTTATGCTCAATTCGGCAAAGCGCGTGCCATGTTTTGGGGGCGTGTCCGACGGCGCCAAACGCGCGCCATACTAGACGCACGCGCGCCACAATAGACACGTATGCAGAATTATCTGCGACACGCGTGCCTTTGCATATGCGAATGCGTGGCAAGCGTACTTTTGAGCTGTTAAGCAGCAGCGCGATCGCGATTTAGCTTTTAGCGCAGCGGTGCGCGTGCAAGGACGCCGAGTTGCTTTTTTGAAAAATAGCCGCGTCCCTTGCCCTGATTTCTGGCTTTTTACTGCTATTTTTACAGGTGTTTGTCTTTATTTGTAACTAGACTTTTATTTTGATTTTCTTACTCGATTTGATGTGTTTTATATTGTGTAAACTTATTCTAGTCTGTCGTTATTATTATTAGCCTTTCTTCCTTACACGAGTTTTTCTGATAGAAAAATCTTTTATTTTTTGTTTGGAGTTGCTGATGATGTATTGGGATACGGGGCGAACTAGTACCAGGCGCGGTTGTGGACTTTGAAAACTCGGCGTAAGTGCGTATCATTTCGTCCATGTTGTCTTTTCATCAAGGTTCATTCATTGCAGATTTTACGCTAGTCCTGGCGCAACGAAGCCAAAGAAAGCAAAATTTTGACCAGGCTTCGCAAGAGAAAATGCAATGGCGTCCGCAGCTCTTCAAGATCTTGCATTTCGCACTGTGCGTAGTCAATCTATACAGGTTATAACGCAGGCTCAGTTGCTAATACATCAGTTTCAGGCGGGATATCAGGTCCTATACGTAAAGGAAAGCGAGTCGAAATGGATACCACATAAGATAAAATTGTTTGCTGTTTGATTAGTATTTCATGGATTCATTGCAGCGCCAGTCGAAAATAGTCGCGGACGAAATGATCGAAACGATGGGGCAGTAACAGGAGACGACGACGATCTATTCATTGCTGATGAGTGAAGTTCTGTGATTACAATATTTTAGATATATGTGTTTATTGCTGTACATGATGCCACCCCGTTACATATGAATTTGACTGTAAAGGTACTGCATGACGAAGGCGCAATGGCAGTATTAGTTGAGCGGGCGCGAACGCAGTGCGCGCGTATCCTCATCGTTGTAAAACATGCGCCTCCTGCGCTCTGCGGCTAATAAAGCCGCGTTCGCGCACAAAGATACTGCGCCTTCGTCATGCAGCAGCCTATACACTATATGATCCACTTCTCATCATTTAGAGTCTTTGAAAGCTTTAATTACATAATTAATAAAGGTTTGTTGAAGTTGTCCGATCATTTTTCTGCAGAAATAAACCTTCAAAAGGTTTAGTGGCGTTGGAAGTTTGGCCGTTCAAATTTGGCGCACGGGTCAATAATTAAGGCGAAGCTGCAAAAAATGCTGACCATTCGCGTGCCAAAACAGCAGCCATCCGCGTGCAAGAAATCGCAACCACGCGCGTTTAAAATCGCAGCCATTCACGGACGATCATGCAGCAGCGCGGCACCCAGTAGCTCGCCGTCCGCGAACGGGGTATGCCGCCACCGTGCAATTGCGCGCGCGCTGCACGCACCGAGTGTATGAGTAGGCACCATTTGATTCAGTTTATCCTCTTTCTTGCAACTACATTTGCTCTTTAATCAACCCTGTCTTTGCAATGTAATCGCCTTGGCTTTTTGAGCAGCTCAGCAGTAGAGCCAAATCTTTGCTAAATTTTAATAATTTTTTTTCCTAATTTTTCATAGAGCGCTGGTAAATGTTATGTAGGACAAGCCTTTGGCTGCATTTTACCCACTTTAGATTACATGGGCACGTTTACCAAGTTCGCTATAACTTTTTATTTGATAAAAACGGCGGTTTTTCGATTACGTCTAGCACACAAAAGTTCCGAAAATTCCAAAAAAATTGCTTTTGAAAGCAAATCAAACTTGATTATTGTTGCATAAATAACGTTTAATAAGAATATTTTTCAACTTGCAGAAAATTCGAAAGTTTTCGTGTATTTGCTGCGGTTGCTTGTTCTAAGACCTTGCCAAAAAATGAGACCTCCGAAGAAATAATTTTTTGAAGCTAAGAACAGCAGATTGGGAAAATCTAAAAATTTTACCTTGTAGACCGAGAATTGTTCTATCTGATTCTTACTTAATCCTTTCCAAAACTTTGAAATGAAATTTTAATTTAGCCAAACTTTGAACAAAATTGAGAGAATTTTGGCAATTATAAAAAAAGGCGTACAAGATTGTGGTTCGAAAATGTATCCTTAAGAAAGAGAAGGAAAAGCTGCATCGAATGCATGTCGGCTCACTCTCTTCATTGTGCGTGATTTTATAGTGGTTTGTAAAAACGGGCAAAACTTTCGAGACAACTTAATATACAGATCCAGCGAATTTTTTGCATGACGAAACATAACACCATACTGCAAACGTCGTCAACCCCATAATCTTAACTGCTGGTCAAACTTTCTTAAAACCATCGTTCAAAAAATTATCATCAAAAAGCTGGCAAGGAATGTGGCAAAAGGTCTTGCGCTACATCGAGGAAATTGTTATTGACTGATTTTCATTGGAATCTGATGATTCTATTGGTTATAGGAACGCAACGAGCTTACGAAAGGACCTAATATTTTATGATCTATCAGTCAATATAAAATTTGTTTGTCGAATTTTCAAGCGCTTGCCGCATGTACTGGTTAGCCTGCGTCTGTTGTGAAAAGATTTTTTAGTGGGGAATAACTAGCTACGGGATGACAGACGATAGTCGAATGGATATGAAGCCAATCGAATTTTTTTAAGGATCAGAACTTCAAAACTTTGCTAAATGCAAGCGTTGCGTCCGTCGTGACTCACCGCGCGCGACGCCACTTGTGGATTTTCACAAAGATTTACGATAGTGAACGAGCATGCTTGCGCGCAGCTTGTTCGACTCCTGCGTTTGCTTCGCACTGTTCAAAGTCTAGCCAATCGCAGCAAAGGTGTTAACCAATCAGACGCACGCCGCCATGGCGAGCTTAACACATTGACGACAAGGCCGATTTTTCGATTACTGCCATTTCGGACAGGAGCCTTTTTTGCTCTGCCAAACTTACGACCCACCCGTGGGTCGTATTGTCCGAAATGGTAGTCTTTTTGTAAGAAATTCAGAACATGTCTCCGAGAATTTCCCCACAAGGGTTATCGAACGCGCTGATTACCAAAATATGATTTATTTCAGTATTTGGCGTTATACGGTAGGGTTACGGTAGTCATTCTGTACAAACCCAACATCATGGATGTTCATGAAAATTTGTGTATTGGGGTTATTTTACGTGCTGATCACGATTATAGTGTCCATTTGTTCACTACATTTTCACGGTGAGACTACGGTAGCAGTACGGTAGAATTTTCGTAGAAATCAAGAAACTGATGTTGGAAGGTGGTATCAAAACTTGAGACTCTCATTTTCGTAATCAGCATGCTACAAAACCTATATATGCAAAGTTCGAGCTTCCTAGTACGAAAAATGCAAAAAATCAATAAAATCAATAAAATCGATAATTTCTTGGTGGATTAACGTCAGCCTCTTGCCCGCCCCGTATTACTCTTAGATGTAAACTTGATTCTCCAGAAACAGCATCATTTTACGAAGAATTTGAGCTAAAGCTTGTGCCTTATAGATGTCTACCGTATACCAACCGTAACATTACATTACAGTATCCCGAGCCCGGACCACTCTGGCTGGAGCTTCACCTAAGTGCCCCCGATCATGTGCCAGAACCCCGTAGAATTCCGTCGTAAACTGGCAAAGATAGCGCTTCATGAATCTTACGACCCACCGGTGGGTCGTATTGTCGTCAATGTGTTGAACACGCATCACGTACTTTCGAGCAATGTTAGATATGTAATATGGTGTGTGATATAAATTCATTTCTTCATCTTTCCCACTTCTGTTTTTCTACTTAGAATCTTCTTTAGCCCGCGAGAGACAAACGGTCGTTGGCGCTAATCTGTGCGATGCAAAAGCCCTCTAGAGTACACAAGTGCAGAACTCTCGCAAACATAGCAGAAATGGAATCAGAGCAATAAGAAAGATCCGCCCTTCTATACGGAAATAAAAAATGAGCAAAATAAAACACTGAAAGTGCAAGAAGTTTCTAGCTTTTTTTTTTGCAAAAGAGCTAGAGGAATTCCTCACAGGTACCTTGTGTCCAGAAATCACAACGACGAAATCAAATTTCAGATTCTTTCGCTGGTAGCAATTATCATAAAAGTAATACGATTGTAGAGGTGTTTTTCTCCTCTTTCATTGACATATGTTCTTTTCATTCAATGTTTTTTTTAATTACAGAACGGCCAGCTAAAGACGAGAAATGGTTTAACTTTGATAAGAAAGAAACATGGCAAAATTTTTGCGTGAGTCTCAAAACTTTTGAAAAACTCGTTGAAACGCTTGAATGATGCAAAAACGTGTTTCTTGGTACATTCAAGTCAAAAATCGCTTTGTTTCTTTTCTCTACTCCAAAATCAAACGATTCCTTCTCTTAAATCAGACATTCTGAAACCAGGACCTATGCCAAATATATGGGGAAGAAAAGAAGAGATCCGAAGCTACCAATCGTCATGATAATCATGATCCAATAGCTAGAGGATTTTGGATTTTTGTCAAAATTTCTGGACACATGATAATCATTGTTGAGGATGAATTGTCTACTGCAAATGATAGCACTATAGTTGTGATCACTATACATCTATAAAGGCTGGAAGATCATTTCACTTGGTATGATTTCAGAGTTGATAAATTACGATCATTATAATTCAGGTTCTCCTCACGGGAACATAGTAGAGTTCATGACCAATCCAGAACAACCCTCCTACCATGCCTTCTACGGCTTCAGGAAATTTTCCAGTGCTAGAATCTGCGCTCCTTTGCGAAAACCAATCAAAATTCCAAAACCCCCGCATTCCCATCTCATATGTCCCGTTTAACATTGACGTATCCTATCAAAGATTGAAGAACGACTTCGGGCTCGACCTCAATGCCTTACTGTTTTTGGAATGTCCGCGATTACACTGGAAAACGTCCCTGGGAATATTGGCACTACACCATGAGTGCATAAGCACTCCGTGAGAAAGACTCAGAAAGTTGCTGGGACCTTTCGTTTGCGAATGATTCGAAATATAGAACCATCCTGATCTAGCCATAAATTTAGAGAAGATTCGGGAGCCCTATACCAACTAATCCGATAAGTAAACAAGCAAAGATCGCGAAGAGTTCACCAACAGCAAGGACTTACTAGTCTGAAGGCATTCGTGACGCTTTGAAAAGCTAGAACAGTTGATACACCCATAACCATGACTGAAGTCAGCATTACTCCTGAAATTACAGTCGTTGAAAATGTTTCAGTTGGTGGAGAGAGCAGATCATATGAAATTGAAGTACAAAAGAGAAGATAACACGTGCGGACAAAGGCATTTGGTTCCTACTTTATGTGAAAGCTACATTGCATTGATTGCTTGAGAAACATGCTTAAATTAGGAGGCCTTTGATATGAACTTTTCATTATTATTACTAATTATAAAGTGCAACGCTTGAAATAAGAGCACATCTCAGTCAAAGGTGAAATCTGTAATCTACAAGAACATTAGATTAGAAGAACAACAGACGCTCTAATAATAGCCTTTTTAGTGAATCTCTCAGGTATACATTACTATGATTTGATAAGCTGGGATTGCAAAAAGTTCGATTTGTACCAAATTTTGCATGGATGTAGTAGGGCAAGTCAGCGATGAAGCATATCAGCCTCTTGCTGAGTAAACAGCTCAAGGCTGCTCGGCAGCTCCTCTTTTAGGATGTGCTTTCCTACTGACGATTTTTGAGATATACGTAAGACTATACGGAAAACGTCATCGAGGGTTAGGAAATGATTCTGAGACTATGCCGTGTTGAGATCTCTCAATTCTTGGAACCCCCCCCCCTTCACGTCACTTACCATTTAGAGTGATCACATTAACTTAATAAAGCATCAAGAAGAGGAACACAATGTAATTGATCACTCACAGCACACCAAGACTCTGCAAAGTTACGTGGGTTCATGAATGTAATGTATCGCAAGTACATGAGGTTCAAACAGAGTCTTGATGCAAAAAATACGATAATAGGCAGAATAAAACAGTGCTTAGAAGATTTTGTAAGGTTGCTATAACATTCTTCATTCTCAACAAACTTACTCAATTTTATAAATTCTAAAGACAGTAATGCACTCTTAGTGTTGCTCAGAAGCTATCGTTGGCTTATGGCGGCCACACGGATGAATTAATATGAGATGTAGGACTACAAATTTGGCCGCAAAGTGCTGAAAGTGTCATTTTTGGATTGCGATTTATTCCCTAGATCTAGGAAGAGTGCTTACTACAGTTTTATTTAGAAAATTTTTTTTAATATTAGATTTAAACCTTTGAATTTTTGTTGGAATACGACATATAATATACTACACTTGATCTCCAAAACATTTTTATATTTATTTGTAGTTTTCTCATCAAAATGGTTAACGTGCTTCAGGGATAAGAGATTATAGGCTTCACAAGTTTGCTCCGAACAGCTTCCAACGCAGCCGATTCAGAAAAAAATCCTGTTGATTGTTCTACTTAGAATTTGGGCCTTTTTATTACGGTTGTGACTGACTCTTGCAGTAAAATGACTGCAGTATACATGTTACACAGTTTGCTAGATAAAGTTCATAGTCCTCTGACAAAATTTGAAAGTTTACAAGCTTGTGGAGAAAGTCCTTTCTGTCTGAAAATTAAAGAAATGACTTATTTTACTAATACACTCGACTTACGCAAAACCATGAAAAATTTGATAAGAAGATTCAAGGACCCCAGGGAAATTTCGCAAATTACAAGATTGGCTAGTGGTTGTCTACAGGCTTCGCAGATTTTGATGAAAAATGAAAAGAGGGATGGTCAACGGTGGTCAAAATGACACATCACATGGTTCTGCAATTATTAATTAGTGGCCAAAGTTTTCAATTTTAAGCTTATTTATTTAAAAGGACAAACGAGTAATGCAGCCAATTTTCTTGCTTGCATGCCTCCTAGATTTGGCGTTCAAATGAACACGGTAAAAACGAAATGATTATTGATGTGTGCTTCTACATAATGTGCGCATCGAGACATTTCTTGAAGTTTTCGCAGCGATTTTTTTCGGGATACTTGGTGCACGTCTCATGTTGTAACTCAATACTGCATCAATTTCGGTGTCATTCGAGATCATCTGGGCTACGATTATGAAAAAACAGAAATGACGTTGAGCAAATGACATCGCAGCAAAGATCGTGGTAATTCTATAATCACTTATTTTCTCATTACTTCATCGATAGTCTCAGCTCTTAATGAAATGACGAAAAAAATTTAGAGCATGAGAGTGACTGGGACGAACCATCACCTTTCAAATAAAAATGAAGAGGATTATGCAAATAATAATGTAGTAGATTAGCTTTTCTGCCTCTCAAAATTCGATGATCTTTGACGCTCGTAATGTGCTCGTAATGTGTACCATGCTATTGCTCTCGTGTACGCGTGAAGTTTGTACTAGAAAATTGAGACCTGGGATGATCTCAATCAAAGTATTTGGTTCATAACTCCTGCATCAGAAAACATGGAAAACTTGTTTTGAATGTGTTCAAAAAATGTTTTTGTATTGTAATCACTTTTCATAAAACAAATGTTTTATCTTACTGGCAAGTTGAGGATTTCAGTGAAAACGAGGTCGAAGTGCTAATCGATAATAAAATCATCAATATTCATAGGTACATCCGATCAACACAAATTTTAACGGTTAGAGAGCATGTCGTTGAACAAGGACCAAATTTGGTTTCAAACGCAGAGTTTTTTAGCATTTTTTACACCCACTCTAAAAAGATTTTTCATCAAATTTATGTCAGTGATATGCCAAAGATTCTTGCTTATAACCTTGGGAGAAGTGATTTCGGCATTGCTGTTACTATTAGCTCTTGCAATTTATGTTAGGCAAAATCATACAATAGACCTAACTACGCGGTATCCCTATTTTCGTTTAATCAGGTTATTGACTTGTTGATATACTTATCCATGTTATAGGTTCACAGATTCGTCGAATAATAGAAGCAAACAAGTACAGCGTTGTTACTTATGATTACAGTTTCCCTCTAAGAAATTTGAAATGTCTCCTGTAAAGATGGTCAGGTCATTTCAGATGCACAACATGACTTCGAGGCGGGACAAATGTCGCAGACTACTTTTCTTTTAAAGTTTCACCTACGTGGCTGGTAGTTGGCATGAAGGGGTAATCGAGCATGCTGATTACGAATACAATATTATATCTAGAATTATCTATTACTTCTATCAATTTCATCGATTTTTCGCAAAGTTCGAGCTACGGGGCTGGGAATTGGCAGGGAATTGGCAGAGAGGGGTAAGTGAGCCTGCTGGTTACTAACTCTCGGATATAGGGAATTTGCATGTAGAAGTGGGCACAGGGAAAGGTTGTACAGGGATAGGAACGGGACCTTTATCATAGCGTTTTTGCAGCCGGACGGAGTCGGGTAATCCAGCTAGTGACACAAGAAATGTTCCAGAGATGCTGTAAAAGCAAGGAATCATAAAGAAACCGAGTTCTGCTGACTTGTCATTGTAAAATTGATGGAAACGAAGAAATACGGTAAATTTGCTTAGCGGTGTGTATCCCTGGAACCTCCTTCCGATGAATGTGCAGTTTCCATTTAAAGTATTGCACTCGAGCAGAACTCCCAAAAATTCTCTGCTCTTCGCGAGGAGAAAGAAATGCTAAAAGCTAACATAATCTTCTGTTTGTGTAGCACAGGATTTGAGAATGCGCTAAAAGGTAGTCGATTCTTTATAGATTTTGTTTCAAATGTGAAAGATTCATTTGAAGTTCTTGCCAAAATAGTGCTATACTGCTCTGGGGCCACTTACCCGTCTTTTCGTCTTTTCCGTACTCTGAATTTGGAAATTATGTCGAAATATCAAGATAGTACAATAGTCTACACAGCTGATTTGTTTAGCTTATTCGTCCGAAGCTGTGATATTCAGCTTTGTTTGATGCTCGTAATTATCTACATATCTAGATTGAGGTTACCCATAGGGGGAATTAATTGACATTGTTTTCTAAATAAAGGAGTGTTAATGGGTATGTTGAGCGCATTCCGAACTTAATTTCTACCTTTCCTGCTTGAGTATGAAATTGTTGTAATAATTCTACAGAAGTAATTTTGAACTCAAGGTACATGAATGAATATTTTTATGTACTGGGTTCTACAGCAAGATTAGAGGTGTTGAATTATAATACTCAGGATCGAAATGTATACACGCATAAGGAAGAGTACAAGCTGAGAGAGATTTGTATAGATAATCTTTTCTGATTAAAAATATAAAATGCAAGGAGCTTTCCTGAAATAGCCAGTAAAATCCAAAAAAGACAAAAATAAATGCATTGTTTCAAAAACCGTCTCGTGACAAAGTCTTGTGCCCTTGAAGTGATACTAACCTAGCTAAGCCTCGAGTACTTCGACTCCACAATCTATATTTATCGCAATCACAGCAAGCGTAAAATTATCTTTCGGTTTCAGACTGATTCTCGAACTATGAAGATTCGAACAACAATGTTATGACTTCCCTTGTGACAACAGGAAATCCGCTACTCGATTACTCACCGATGAGGTTTCCAAGTTGTTCTTGAATACATTCTACTTTCAAAGTAATCAAGTAAAGATATAGATGATAGATAGGTAGATGATAGATGTGGATAAGATTTTACTCTAGGAGCTATCTGAGAACTATTTCATAGATCATTCGCGCATCTCAGTAGATCCCAAACCGAGAATGGCAAAGGCCAAGCCTGCAAAAGGATATTGGACATACGCCTTGAGGTGTACATAGGTTCCCCTCAAACATTTCCAACTAAATGATAGGCAATCGTACGACTGACATGCTCAAACCGGACTTGCTCAAGGCACGAAATCCAAAAAGCAACTATTGGATGGTAAGTTTTGAACAACATCTTCAAAGCGCATAGTATGATATTATAGCGCAATATCAGCGCATATTCGAAGAGTGACACGTAGAGGAAAAATATTGAACTGTCGAAAATTTAAAAAAAAACTACTGTCTGTGAAGGTGTGCAGGGCTCTCTTTCCCTCCAAAATCTTCTTGCTAGATGATGAACGGATAACACGCATAATTTGCCGAAAATTTCCATGTAATTTAAATCAGTTTCTTACACGGTATAATTTAGCTGTAAAAGTCCATTTAGATAGCATGACAGTTCTAGAGCCTAAGAAGGAGAGCGCTCCAGTCAAAGGGTACAAAGCAGCTTGCGC